AAGGAAGGAAGGAAGGAAGGAAGGAAGGAAGGAAGGAAGGAAGGAAGGAAGGAAGATGTCTTCCCCCTTGTGATACAAATACCAACATATTAGCAAACTCTTATGGAGTACAGAAGATTTGAACCTTTGCATTGTGCCTGTGCTACGATGACTGGAGAGATATTTCCAGGTTTAATGCATTCTGAGGAAACAAATGCCTGAAAGCAATATCTATGACCCTGACCCCTCCCTATTATATCTGGAATGGTTAGCTCAGCAACATCCTGGCTATGAAGAATCTGCTTAAGTAAATCTTCTTTTATGCTCATATAGAACATGAAGCTGACTGACCTCTGGACTTGGGGCAATGAAAACATCTCATCTACACTTCTGTGGTTGATTGCTATAAGTACACACACTGTGCATAAGAGTGCCTAAATAACAAGTTCCATTTCAGTAACATTCCTCATGAGTTATAGTTTCTCTGTGCAAACCAACTCACTGTTTAAGATATCTGTTTGTTCTACTTTCATGAGCTTTCTAGCTGATGGCACTGTATCTGTTTCAAGAGCATACGGAATCCTCCCAAGTCAGGATATTTCAATTTCTGTCAGTGGACCAAGCCCAATGCACACACATAGCAAGCACAGAAATACTAGCTGGTTGATTGGAAAGATGCAAACAACCCCACCTAACAGCAACAGCCTTTTGATCAGAGAATAGCTTTCAGTGTTTCTTCTAGAAAATATCCTCATTTCCTGTCATTAAGAAATTATATAGAAGCCTTTTCTTTGGATAAGAAATAGTATAGAAGTCTTTTCTTTGCAAAGAGCATTTCTTATGAACATATGGAGGTGCCTTCTACTGAATTAGACCACCGGACCATCTAGTCTAGTATTATGGACTTTAACTTGTGGTGGTTCTCCATGGTTTCAGGCCAGATTCCTTACTTTTCACTCTTGGGGATGCCAGGGATTGAACCTGGAACGTGCAAAGGGAATATTTTGCCACTGAGGTATGCCCCCCCCAAGGGATCTTAGCCATACCTCTTGATGCGGGTACTTGTAAGCCAACAATAGTCAATGTTTTCTTGTCTAAAAAGCAACAAGCACTGGAATTATCACACAGCTATTTTTACCTGTGGGCACTGGCTCCAGCGGCCCCACTCAGACACCACACACTCATTGGGACAGAAGAGGGTGCACTTTTGCATTTCAGCAGGGATTTCAGAGTTATTACAAAGCATGTTGTCTACAGCCTCACCATCACCATCTTCAGTCGTGTTTACACATCTGCCAGGGGGGAAAAATGCATACTGTGTTTGGAAGTCCTCAATGATCAAAGAAACAGAAAACAAATGGCAGGCATTTCAAAATAAATCAATATACTGTAGGGCTTGTAACAGTGATGTTTAGGGACATCCTTTGAGACAGAATTCATCCCCTCATAGACTATCATTTTGATGCACCTCTTCCAAGATGTGGTCCGAACAGGTGGTCTGAACCCCCATTTTATACACATTTGCTTGGTACATAAACACAGATATAAATACAGATGGGGGGAAGGGAGGTAGAGAGAGAGACTGCAGGAGAGAGAGAGAGAGATGTTTGCCGGTAGACTGCATGATGCAGGTCAACTCATGCTGGACCTTATTGGTATTCCAGAGTCCCAGAGATGGCTGTTCCATTCCCTTGACAGTCCTGTGCCTAAACCAATGGCTTTTATTTCTACTTACCCGATCTTCCTCGTTTGTATTCCATCTCCACAGTGAAGGGAGTTTTGCTCGCTGTTGATTTCACATGGAGACCATGGTTCTACCTTCCAGGAATACTGATTGCATTCACTATAACATGGGACTGGTTCATGCACCTTCATGAAAAAAAATACAACATTACACATTATCAACCTTCTGAGTGACTATTCTCCACAGAAATGCTTTGGCAAAATAACTTTCAGAACAAGGAAACACACACACAATTCCCAGGCATACACCCATATTACTGGGGGGGAGGGGGGGACTGTGGATTTTATTTCCCATTCAGAGAATGGTACAATGTTTAAATTCATTGATTCATTATGGATTTGCCAAAAGATGGGCAGAAAATGTAATATATGTATGCAGCTTTTCAGAAAGAAAATAACAGCTATTTCCAGCAGCCTAAACAAAAAATCCAATTCAATTTCATTTCGTCTGTTCATGCAACATCTATCAGATGCCCTCTCCTACAATTATACACACATTATATCTTTCCTGAAGGTATTATTTATGGCACCAGCTGACAAAGAAAAGTATTTTCTGTACATACATTTCATGTCTCCTTAATGCTTAACTTGCAGTGATCAATGGGCATCTACTCCTCTCTCTTGGTGAGCGCCCGTCACCTGCTTTGTGACATGCTGCTGAAGGCTCTAGCTTCTCTTGCTTTGTTTACTCTGTAATAGCTCCTTCAGTCCTCTGACAATTTAGAAGCCTGTTTTTAACAGGTCAAACATCACATCTAATTTGGCCCAGAATATAAACTGAGCAAAAACAGATTAAGATAACTCTTGGGATCTATGAGTTAAAGAATTAGAAGCTTTGTGTACTTTATGGAGTGCTGGAGCAGAGAGAAGGAAAGGAATGACACAGTCCAGTCTGCTAAGAAGCTACCCTAGGGTAGCTGTCTCCAAGCCAAGTCTCCTCTAGTTGTTTGGAATGACAATTCCCATTATGTCCATCAGGCTGATGATGGGAGTTGCAATCCAATATAGCTGAAGGGGACTAAACTGAAGAAGACTATCCTGGACAATACTGTTCTAGCTGCAATGATTATTTACTCAATTCCCACTCTGCAAGGAGAAGGACATAGCCTGGAAACATAATTTAGGTTGTAATGCATTTATCTTACCTGAAGTTTCTTTCATTATGAAATTTCAGATTAAGTGGAAAATTGGCAAGGTTTAGGGAAGGTCTGTTTAACCTCCTCCTCATTACCCATTTGCTTACCCAAAATGCTACCCCCACATACTTTTCTCACAGGGATAAGAAGGCATCAAAGTTGGCTTCGTTCCATTATAATAAAAATTGGGTGTAGTGGGGAGGGGAGAGCTTCACATAATATTTTATTCCATCCCAAGAGGATGAGTACATCATTGTTCCTGCAGATTCTGACCATTTAGTTAAAGCAGGAGGACAGCCTGCACCCCACAGTGGCCCACCTGCTGCCCTCTGACACTCTTGGGGCCTCCACATGCCCCTCCCATTAAAAGATAGGCCCAGGAAGTCCCCATATGCCCTCTAGGGTAGTGGTCCCCAACCTTGGGCCTCCAGATGTTCTTGGACAACAACTCCCAGAAGCCTTCACCATCACCTCTGCTGGCCAGGATTTCTGGGAGTTGAAGTCCAAGAACATCTGGAGGCCCAAGTTTGGGGACCACTGCTCTAGGGGATGTGAGGGATAATTTTGCCATTTTCTGAGGTTCTCACAACCCCTTCCTGGCCCCAAACCCTAAATGAAGAAATATCGGTCATTAGGAAATGAAGTGGGGTTTTTTTTTCAGTTAAAAAAAATAAGGAAAAACAGGTAGGAGGCCACAGGAGCATGTGTGGCTCCTATAACTCTGGAAATTATCCAACATGTCCTGGAACTTCAAAGTATAAAATGCACTCATGTCTGTATTTTCAGTGTCCCCTGATTTGAAGATCAGCAATTCTATGTGGAGGGAATTGAGATTAAATTTGAAAGAAGGACATTAAGTTGAAAATGAAAATGTCACAGGAAAAATAGATTTGGAAAAGGAGAGCGAAGAATTCTCTATTAGAGAGCTACACGTCACACTAATAAAACAGAAATGAAGAAGAATAAATGCAAAACAAAACAAAACCCCAAACACACGTGACCGATTATAATTATAGCCATGGTGCCTAATTTATTTCAGAAGATGAAATAGATGCCTTTTCTTACTCCCAATGGTTTAGGTCTATCTACAAATTCTGAAGGGCTCACAGGGTTCAACAGGATCCCCGTATCTCAGGGCCTGCAAGTTATTCTCTCTCTCCACAAGTTATTCTCTCTCTGATGTTTTACTGCAGCAGCTCAGCAACTTATAACACTATTCAGTCATGAAAATCTGTACTGAATACACACATGTACATAGGGGGGTGCTTTAGCCCTGTCTTTTCTACCACAGTTTCTGCCCCATACCATATGAGGCAGTGGTCTCCAACCTTGGGCTTCCAGATGTTCTTGGACTTCAGCTCCCAGAAATCCTGGCCAGCAGAGGTGGTGATGAAGGCTTCTGGGAGTTGCAGTCCAAGTATATCTGGAAGCCCAAGGTTGGGGACCACTGATTATAAGGAAGCTCCTGAGCCTCAAGAAGCAGAGCTCTACTATCGATTGGGATTCCCCACAGATCAGGACCCTGATTTTCCAGGGTCCCGACTCAGATGGAAGGCACCCCACAGATAGTGCAGACTCTCCAGACTCCTCACTTCCCACATGTAGGAGGGTGGCAGAAGTGATAAAAACGGGAAGGAATACTACAAAGGATCCCTGTTTGTAGGAATGTTCAACACAGATTTTAATGACTGCATGGGTCTCCTGTTAGCCTACACAAACATCGCAGTCCTGCCTTTATTTTTATACAAAGTCTGCAGTCAATTTCTTTGGCTTTTCAGAAGGCATATTCATCCTTTCCAGCAATATCTAGCACTTTTCCCTTTGTGATCAGTGGAAACGTCAAGGCAGCAAAAGCAGAGTTGAACACTTTGGGGAGCTAATATAACAGTCTGCCTACATATCTGAAATGTAATTCAGACCCTGAATAAAATACCATCTCAATCACAGCTCACTTCATGGACTTAAAGCAAGCCTCCATGTTCTTGGTATCAAATCTGCTGCCTTGAGAACCCTGACTGGGAGACAGGTGATCAATAAACAAACAAACAAATTTGCCATAGGGCAGATACGACTGGGATAAGGGGGAGGGGCATGTGCATGCCAGATTCCAATCCTCTGCATAATTCAGTCTATCAAAGCACTCCATGTGAAGCGCTGTGAGTGTAAAAAAAATACTAGAGTTTAGTGTACCATATTTTATATAGCTAAGACCACTTATTTATTGCTTACTAGTAGAACTGTCTGGTTTTGGTTTGGTGGAAGGGTTTTAAATTGTACGTGTTTGCATTCTGATCACTCTGCATTCTGAATCTGTCCCCGCACCTCATCTACAGGTGGCTGATTACAGAAGGAAAGGTATGACTCCTAAAATTTAAGAAGGAGAAATTCTTTCGGTACTGTCCATGAGTTGTCTATGCCTCCATCAATAAGATGGGTTGACTCAGATAGACTTTACTCTGCAAACAAAAGCCAAGCTAATGTGCCAGACATCACCTAACCAAGACAGAAGAGTCCTCACTTCTGAAGCTGTCAGACAGCCCTTTTGAGCCAAACAATGAAAACAACCAAAAGAATAAACCGGCAATGAAACAGATCTGCCTATTAAAAGTGCTAGTGTCACATAAATTGACCTCTAAAGCTGTGTATATATGCATCACACTATAAAATCCAAAGCAGAAGTGTGTACATCATTATCATGACTGCAAGTGATGGCACTCAGAAGGGTAGTTAAAAGCTTTACGTGAATAAAGAGTACCAATGAGAACTCTTCCAGTTCACTTGTTTATTGTTCTTCTCTTTCGTCTTCCTAGCAGTCAATTTCACCTGAATTCTGGTGTAACTAAGGTATTTTCAAAAATCTTCATTCATTTTCAGTTCATTTCCTTTCCCCCTCTCTTACTGTTTATCTGTGTACATTGACAAAACTATGAAAAAAATCAAACTATAATTTAAAGATATTGAACTATATGTATGATTCTGTCAGTTTTTGTTTTAACATGGTGTTTTAACTAATGAGTAGTTATGCTCCTGTAAACAGAGAAGAAACTACATGAAAAGCATTTTGATGCAGTCGTGTTATGTTAACATCAAGATGGCTATTGTTTTATCAATGCACACATTGATAAGGAGGATGGAGGGAATGAATTAAAAGTACAAGTCAAAGGAACATGGAAAACGCTCTGTACAAAATTTGCAAACATAAAATAAAATAGTGTTATTATTAATTCTGCTTTAGGAGCAAGACCAGACCATTCCAGACTTTGAAACTGGGGGAGATGTCAGAAACAGAGAATGTATGTAGGAATTTAATAGACCCTCCCTGATTCTAGCATTAATGCCTACCTGCCTTTCATGAAGGCCACTGATCACTGAGTAGAGCACCCAGCTGAAAACTCTCTTCTTTCAAGGCAACCCCATTTGTGTCAGTTTTACTGTTCATGCCTTGGATATGTTTTGTCCATTTATCTGTTTTAAAATGCTTCTCAAGTACCTTTTCATTAGTTTCATGAATTACGGTGTGGTGTACAAAACACATGAACATTACTTAAGCAATATAGAGATAAAAGAAGCAAGTATAAAACAAAAGGTAGAAAAACATGATTAAAAACCAAAAGCTGCTTGAAGCAGCCAAACCCTATAAAATACAAGGGCAGACACAAATGGCTTATTTGCTGCTAAAACAACTCTAACATTGGCATCAGTCATGACAGTGATTTCATCTCCTTTTCTAACTACTAAGTACCAGCATCTTGAAGTGAGTTCAGTACGGGAAAAGCAGTCAGTTTCAAAATCAGAGTAACATGATTACATCTGGCTGAACCAAGTAGATTGCAGGCAGTTGTGTTGTGCACTTATTGATGCTGTACCTCCTAGCAAGACCTTGTTGCTTCCTACCTGTATCTAAAGCTTTTTCTTTTTTCTTTTGCTTACATTTTGGTGGGGAAGAAAGTGCTTGAATGTTGAGGTGCTTTTCCACCATGGCTATCAGCC